TTTATATACACATATAGCAGACCGGCATTCTGTTTGTTGTGTGTCATACTTAAATTGCTCCCCGCTGCATCAAGGAACCTGTAGGCCTACTCGGAGGACACACGCACATGTAGGCATATCGCGCGCCTAGATCCGTGATCTTTACCAGGTGTAAGTAAACCACTGACAAAACGAAAAAACACAGACGAGGACGAAGCAGAAGCTGTGATGTTACAGAAAAAAAGAAAGCTTTGTGAGAAATGGAGGTTCGGCGATAACAGCGTTTCAAGAGGCTGGCTACACTACGATGCTGAGGGTGTAGTAATGAGCTGTAATGTATGTCGGCAATATGCTAATGAAAAAAAAGTAACAACTCACTTGTCATCGGTAACAATACGATGAAGCTGCAGAACATCCGTGACCATGAACGCAGCAAGTGTCAAAGTACAAATATTTGAAGTACAAAGTGCTAATGGAATTTTGAGCTCAAAACTTCATAATATTAAACTAATTTTGCTTCAAATTTCACTCTGGCCTCTCCTTTAAGCTTGTATTCAACATAATACTTTTTTATCTCAATTAAAAGTATTGAAACAAATGTGACAGAAAAAGGCAATTCATTATTTTGGCCGGTGGATTTTTTCATCTACCAGTCCCCTTGGCCGGTGAGCCAAAAAGTTAATTTTCAGTCCTGACTGTATATTAAACTACAAACTCAGACAGACTCAGACTTTGTCTGTGTGCTTCCTGGTGCTGAGCAGGAACAGCTACCTAAAGAAGCTAATGACAAAATGAAAGAAAACCACACAGTAACTGTGTGAGCTAATGGGGTTGGGTGTGTGAGAGACATTCTCACATTACAACAATTTAATTCAATGTTACTATATAAAGTATTGATTCGTGCAAGTTGACTTAAAACTTTTTTGGACTGTGGGTATCGCTACAGATTTAGGGGTCATACACGTGCAGCGTCTTTAACCACCTGGAAAACGCAAGGTTGGGTGCTGCTTTTGTGCCTTTTTTTGAGCCAGCTTTCAAGAGCATGGCAGCAGGTTGCCTTTGAGGTTTCTAAGCAACCATAACAAGCACTGCACCATAGCCCATTTACCTGAAATCCTGAGTGCAGAGCTGATCTTCCTCATGTGGGCACATCATCCGTAGGGCAGATGTAAAGCTCTGGCAGCTCTGCACCAAAATGATCCACTTTCCATATTTATTGTAGACTGGTATTTACGAAGGAAGGGAAAGGTATCTGTCATCTGTGATTCGTTGTTCCTCGTCACATGACATGCAGTGTACGCTGCCACATTACAAAAGTTGAACCCAATTTATCTCAGGGTGCAGCCATCACGCCCTGAAAAAAGGCGCTCAGGAACGCGTACGCGACAACAGTGTCACTCTGGCGTTTGAGCACGCCTGCCATACGTCTACATTGAAAACAATGAATTTGAGGGTGTAAAAAACACGTCATGTGTGCAAACCCATACAGCAGAAAGCATGAATTACAAACTTTTTGCATTAAGAGACATGGAATTTTCTAAGGAGGGACTGTCTAACAAAAATATGCTATTGGTTACATTATGGGAAATGAAGGATTCAGTATGTATTTACACAATAAATTTTATTGGACTGAAAAAGGCAACTTTTAAACCCTACCAGGTCTTCATTAGGCAAATAAGCCAACATTACAAACAGCAAGGTATACCAGACACCAGATTCAATAGGCACCAACTTTAATAGGCAAAACTTTTATCAACAAAATTCAAATGGACAAAATTTTATTGTAGATAGGAAGAAATGGAGCTTTGCCTGATCTTCCTTTGTGCATGTCTGCTCTACTGCTGTACACTTAATATGTTAATCCCAACGCGTTCAATTCAAACTTGTGCCAGTTGAAGTGGTATGTAAATATATTATATAATACAAAAATCGACACAGCATAGTATTGCAATATTTTGCATGGTGATATTGTATATGAACGCCAAGTATCGACATTTTATTATATATATTAATTTTTTCAAATACACACTTTCATACAACTTTTGGTACTAGAATTAAAAAAAAATCAATTGCTTTTTTCGGTCCACTAGAGGGTGCTGATGTGTTTTTTTCCCTGGTAAAGTCCCAGTCAGCAGCATTTGGCAGGAAGTTCATCAAACAAAGATGGAGGCACCAGAGAAAGAAATCAGAAATGCGGCATCAACGTTTCTCATCAACTCTCTGGACATATTTTCAATTATTTAACACAGAAAGAAAGGAGGACAAGGCGAGCAGAGCGGAGCAACGAGCGGAGCTTCAGAGCTGCTTTTCTGAAGCAAAACAAAAGTTTACATGTTCTAAAAAAAGAGAAAACATCGCATGCCCTGCGATGTGACTATCACACATGCAAACATCGCGATGGCGATGTTCAATCGATAGCATGCGTATGCGTAATTACGTGAGGCATTACGTGGTATTGGGTTGGTCATAGGCTGTACTAGCCGATGCCGCATTTTAGGCAGTATCGGAGGCATTTCCGAAACTGGTATCGGTATCGGTACAACACAACACTATCGGAAATGGCAAGTGAGGGAAAGGCGCACAATTGTAAGTCATAATTACCGATATGTTACTGTTGTTTTGTCATGGAATGTAGTGTTTTCATGCGTAGTTTAACCTTCAAACCCGTGGTCGATGTATTAATATAGAGCCCACTTGAAAGTAAGGTCCCGCTAGATGACAACGGTGTCAGCGCTCATAGATAATAAAGATGTGTATGAGCGCTCAGGCTGCCCCACCGAGAGCAGCCTCTCTCGGATAGTCCTTTTGAAATTCGTCGCTGATATCTCTGCAGTGGTTAAATATGAAATGTAATTCATTTGGGGTATGTCTAATGGGCAATATTCAATCTCAGTATATAGGATATATTATTAAATGTTGTAACATTGTTAATGTAATTGTTGTTCTTTGGATGTATTCTTTTGCTTATTTATGTGTTTTACCATTCAATAATGATTTTAATTTAAGAATTTATTTTATTATTTATTTATTCAACAGCATTTTAAATATTGATTATCTGATATGAATTGTATACCTGATGTCTGAAGTGTGGCTGAATAAAATTTTCGTCTTAACATTTGACCTGTTTGATCCTCATTTCGGTGAGGATAGACTAAATGAGAAACTACTGTCAGTATAATCCAGTACAGTTCAGCAGCACCACAATCTACAACACACTTCAATAAAATGTTAGACTTAATACAATATTAAACTGCTGTTGTTTTTTCTAAGTGTACCAAGTAAACTGTCATGTCTACATAAAAATGTAGACAGAAAGCATAATGATGAGACAAATGCAGTGATGGACAGTAACTAAGTATTTACTCAAGTAGCTACTGTACTTAAGTACAAATGTGATGTACTTATACTTTGGGAATTTCCATTTTGTGATACTTAGAGGGAAATACTGTACATTCTACTCAAGCTACATTTATTTGATAGCTATAGTTACTTTTCAGATAGTTTGTTTTATATGGTGTAAGTTTCATATTTACAAGTTGATGTGCGTTGCTATAGATTAGACTAGTACACTAGTCAAAGGTGTTAAAATTAGTTCTACCATGACAACATTTAAATGCTGCTCACATGTAGCCTATGTGTAAATTGATCAATTAATACTCAATACATATTCATGTAGCTATATGATGATTACAACACTTGAAAATGGGTCACTATGCATAATGAGTACTTTTAATTTTTCATTTTAAGTAGGCCTACATTTTGCTGACAATACCCATATACTTTTACTCAAGTCAGATTTGCAGCACTTTTACTTGTGACTCAGTTTTTGTTCTTTGTTGTGAATTTAGGGTTGGGTACAGAAACTCGGTACTTTTTGTACTTGCTACTGATTCACGTTGGTACTACCGAGTACCAAATTTGGCACCTGAAGTGGAGGCGGAGCGAGAGCGCATGACTCGCACCTCAGACTCAGCAACAATGGTGAGCCGAAAGCGGTCCAAAGTCTGGCTGCACTTCACGCCAGTCGACGGAGACAGTGCTCGCTGCAATATTTGCGACGCAACATGCAAGGCAGGCGGGGGAAACACTTCCAATTTAAGGAATTGTATTTATTTCTATTTAAATCTTTTTATTGAATTTTCAAAATAAATGCATGTGCAGCACTGTTCCTAAATGTTCTCAATAAAATGTTGAAACTGAGAAGTTTAGACTTTAAAAAGTACCGAAATAAGGTACCGTTTGGTACCGGTACCGAATTCCAGATACCGTATCGGTTCAATTATGAACGGTACCCAACCCTAGTTGTGATATTACTACTTTTTCTGGGTACTTTGTCCACAACTGGATAAACATATCAAACAACAGAGACATGCAAGCATAGCACGTCTCATCCTCATCCTCCGCTGTCTTTCTCGGATCTGCCTCCTCAGCTGGGCAGCCTCCTCCTCAGCCTGCAGGTACAGCAATCCTGCTGCAATAACTGCACCAAGACGCCTTCTCCGATCCATGTCAGTTATAAATTTTTTGCCCGCAGCTGGCTTTTGATCATATTTAATCTATTTCCAATTCCCGCACCTGGCTTCTGATTATGTGTAATCAAAACAAAAGCCAGGTGCGGGGGAAAAAGACATTTTATGAAAATATTTTGGCTATTTATATGTTTTTGTGTGTCAGTTATATATTATGTTGAAACGTTAAAAACGCATAGGACTACATATTAATTTCTTACAATGACAATGAAAAGACGCAGGGCTGGGCTGTGTTTATATTGTTTTTATTCTGTTCCAAAAGCAGAAATGACTGTACTCCCATCCTCCCGTTCTTGGGAAGTCCGGACTCCAAACTTGCCAAGTCCACAAGTCCAAACTGCTGAACTTGAGTATTGAGAAACGCCTTAAGACTTGAATGAAAAATGACGCCAACTTAGTTTTCGGAGTTATTGTGACGGAGACCCTAGAGAATTAACGTGACCGATGACAACAACACTTTTGTTTCATTTTCCGCTTTTATTTTGAAGGCCGTAAACGGCTAATTTCCGGCTTGACCAAATATGCCGCGGGACACTAAATCACCTTTTCTTAAACACCGCAAAGCTACTACTCTTTCTGTTCAGTCAGCTAGTATAGACGTAGTAACGTTACCTTGAATAATAACATAGAGCTGAGATATCAATTTAATGAGCCCAGTAGAATCAACACAATGTAGATAAACTTCATACCTGCTTTGTTGATGAGGAACTCAGACCTCTCATCTTCCAGCAGCCTCCGCTGGCGGTTAATCTCTTCTTCATAGTTTGATATTGTTGTTTCCAGCAGGGCGGATATTTCCTCTACAGCCACCGCGAGTCGCTGGTTGATATAAGTTTTCAGGGTCTGGAGTGTTGACATTTTCAGAGAAAAAGTGGCATGCGGAAAACACATTGAAGATGTTGTTCCCTGAGCTCGAGGTAGACTGCACGGGAGAAGTATCGCGTGAAGAGTCGATACTTCGCCTTACGCCAGAAACCACGTGACCATCCCAAACCAGGCCTTGTTACGTCATATATGTATCAGAGCGGTGTCAACCTGGTGTTGAATACAAAAAAAAAAAAAAAAAAAACAACTGGTGTTGAATACGGGATTTCACAAAGATATGTGATGTTTCATAGATGAAAAGTGAAATTACTCTGCAAAAAAAAGCGGATGAAAAATGAAATAAAAACATTGCTATCCTCAGATGCTATTGCTCTGCATAGCACCACACACCAGGTTAAAGAAACAGACAGGAAGAGTGTGCTCCACCCTTGACACACTCTTCTGTTGCAGAAGCCTGTGGAGCTCTGGCTTCGTTACACTACAGCAAAGATAGTGGATAATGCCTGAATTACTTTATCTAATTCCACACAACACTACTTGTAAATCCCTCAGGTTTGGTGACGTTACCTGGCAACGTGCTTTACAAGTAGAAATTAAAGCCATTATATTGGGTGCTATACCCCTAATTTAATTGCTGAATGCATCTGTTAGAGTGTAACCAATGCAGCCTGAATACACATGCAGTTGTCCTGTACCTTGGACTGTGCATTTGTATTGTATGCACTTCATTTACAGCACTGGGTTAAAAAGATAAATGTAGAAGATGAAATGAAGACAAAAGAACCCTTGCTAAAGATCATTAGTTTATTTTCAAGAGGTTATTTCAGAAACATGTCATTACAGTCAAACTCTGGAGTGTTGGATAAATGCATCATCATCTCACTGCAGCTGTTTCCAGAGAAACCTTAGAAATATCAGCTATAAAGTGTCCCAGGAATGACTCCTAAAACCCCAAAATTAGTTAGCATCGTAGCACTCTCAGCCCCCCCGTCTGTAAGTCAATGGGCTTTTGGTTAGATGCCTGAAATAAGGTCTGTGGTTAATACAAGCTTAAGAGATTGTCATGTTTTGTTCTGCGACATTAAATATGTCAGTAAATACCCCAGTCATGAATTCTGTAGCTTTTATGTGTCTTAAAAAAGGCGGTTGCTAACAAGTGGCTAAATGAGACTATAGAACATCATCACACCAAACATGGCCTTACAGACTGGTTTTGGTGTAGTTTGTTTATAGCCTCATGTTAGTTTTTTACTAATTGCGATTGCATTTAGGCTTCAAAAATCATAAAGTGCTGTTCATTTGTGACGATAATCTTGCTGAACAAAATCTATAAAGAGCTTAGTTTTCTGCAGTAATCCAAAATCCAATGGAAAAACCCCACTGGCTTTTTGAAGAGTGAACCAGGGCGACACTAACTTCCATGTCGGCCTACAGAAAAACTTTGTCCCTAGAGTACTCTATACAGCCTGGTCTCACTCCCAGGGCATCAAAATACAGTGCTTGGGCAGTAACACCAGGGGACACCCTTTAGCGTCTGTATGAGATGCACCAGGCTTTCAACCAACTCCATTGTAAACCCATGTGCATCATTATTAAATATTCAGAGGGTACAGTATAAAGAGCAAGAAAATCCACTTTGAATGGGAGGAAAGGTGGATGGGTCCAACAAGCACAGGACTCTGAGCCAGGTGACGCGTGTTTGTGTTGGGTGTGAAACTACAAGTCACCATTGAGTTACTTTGTCACCTCAGTTGTTAGTCACTTGTCAAGGTTTATTTATACTCCCTTTATGTATGAAAATAGATATGTCCATTTCAACGGTTGTAAACATCACTGTCTTCATACTTCCATGCATCCGTCATGTTGGCATTGACACGGCCAACAGATGGCACTAGAGGGCAGAGTCAAAAGTTTCACACAACAACAAACAAGACAGCAGCTGTGGTCTATGCAACCATTATATAAATCCCAACATGGACAGAATTTTTTTTTCACTATATTAGCAATTTGTTCGGTCTTTCTCAGTATCTAACGAGCCCTTAACTGTGACCCCTCAAAAGCAGCTGTCTATTGCCCACTTTTCCCAGCTGATAATCCAGCCTCTGTAGAGAGAGACTCCACAGTGATGCTGACAGAGAGGGAGAAGCAGAGCAGGTGCAGCCTCAGTCTGGTTTGGTGCTGCTGGGTGACGCTGCAGGACAGAGCTGGGTGGAGTACTGCAGAGGAACATCCAGACCTACCACAGGACCCACCACACTGAGCCACGACAACACGTAGTTCACTGCCCTGCCACACAAACACAGACACCCACACACAGTAAATACTATGAACCTGACAGATGTATGAAGTGAAGAACAATCAACCTCACTTGGCTTGCGAATGCTTCAAGTTTCATGCAACTTTAAATGTACTGAAGGACCTGATGCACAGTGTAATACTTTTTTTAGATTAGTGAATCCAACAGTAGACCTACTTGTGCTGTTCCTGAGCCGCCTGCAGCACGGGCCGCATGAACTCCTCTGTTCTACAGGGGTGTAGCATAAAGAATGGCTGACCCAGCAGGGGATGCTCCTGACACAAACACACAACACACAACACACACACACACACACACACACAACACACACACACACACACACACACACACACACACACACACACACACAGAGCTCAGTGGAGCTTCAAGGAGGATGATGATGATAAAGATGATGGGTACACCTCTCCTGGTTTTACCTGCAGAGTGATTGTATTCAAAGGACTGCTCTGAAGCCGAAGCCTGAAGTTTGGATGAACAGAGCTCCACATCTCCTCTAATGACAGGCTCCTCCCCTCTGACATGGTGAAACACCAGGAAGAATATGCAGCAGGTAAGTCACTGAGGGCATCCTCATAAAATACTGACATGGCTGAGATATGCAAAGGTGTGCAGTCCCTCTACAACTGCAGAGATTTATTTTCAGGAGAACCCTTGACTTGCTTGTCTTGTCTTGTCTTGTCTTGTCTTGTCTTGTCGCATCCCTCAAGGTGTCCACAGACTTTTTCGTTATCGTTATTTTTGTTTAATTGTCTGAGTTTTATCTCTTTTCTGATTAATTCTAATGAGGCTACACTGAGGAAGGAGGTTGTATTTTCAGAACTGATAACTAGTTAACTGAGCAGGCTGCAATGTGCTGTCTATAAATAAGGGACATGCAGTTGATTTGGACATTAGGGCTCTGTGGTGGGATGTGTATATGTTTACTTTATTTTATAGCCTTGATATGTTCTTTTCTTTAAAGGGGCTGTATGTGAATTCAGAGTGTATGAGTTGTCTGGACACGATTCTCAACAAGAAGGTGGCTAAGCCAGCAACTAGCAGCTAATGGTGCTAACTCCATAAACAGCGCTAAACAACAACAACGACAACAACAACAGTGCTGACAGAGCTTACAGTGTTAACCAGTTGGGAAACTGAGGGTGACGACACCATCCTGATATCAGCAAGGCAGGGCAGTGCAAAGCAGCTAGCCAGTGGAATAGTAACATGCACACGCAGCTGGACCAGCTTACCACAACAAACCATAGAGAAGTTTGAAATACAACACACACAGGGGAAGTGTGACTTCATTGTCTGCTCATGACACCATTATTCCACTACATCTTTACATAGCAATTAGTGCTTTGCTGCTATATTAATGCTCTGAATGTCACATACAGAACCTTAAGTGGGTGTATCACATTACATCGGCATCAGAAACATTTTTCTTCCCCTCCACTCCCCCTTTCCCTTTTAAAATGTATCTTACTTATGTTTATGTACATTTTAACACGGTGCACATTTTAAACTACCTACTTTTTACTTTTATCTAAATCATTTTTACACAAGTAATTGTTGTAATAAAATGTCTTTACAGTAACCGTACTTGTACCTGAGCACAATACTTTTTTATCCGTTCAGCTAACTACAATACAGTCACACCATTCACAAAGTATACTTAACTCGAAACCCATCACATCTACATCAAACAATACCATCTGTAAATAATCAACACATCATACTGTACATGTCTGATGGTTGGAGTGGCAGTGTGTGTATGCAGTGACTGTCTCACATGTAACTAACCCTGAGTGGAGGCTCTGAAATACAGCACAGGAGTACCATAGCTGCAGGAGTGCAGGATGTGATACTCGTACTGCAGCACCTGGCTGCTGCCTTCAGACACCGGACAGCCCCCGTTATCGTCATCATCATCATCTATGTCACCGCTGATGCTGTCAACATCGGCTGAGGCAACAGGAACAGACTGTGGAGGAACAGAGAACATGGAGACAGTGTTGAATGTAACGGGGTTCACTTTGTAGCATTCAGCAGTGCTATCTGTGGCTGCTTCAAATCTGAAGCTGGAAATGAGCCATCAGAGGACATGAAACTTCTTAATTATTAAAGGTGTGGAGATTTGGAGAAAGAAATATTTTAATATGTTAATTACAGGTTGAAGGCACAGATGGAAAATAATGATATACCGTGAATGTTGGCATGTTTTCCTCCAAAATTCAGTCTTTCACCTGTTCTGTTTCTTGCCTCTGCTTGTCAGGCCAGGGGTGATAGGAAGTGAGTGGCTCTGTATCTGATCCTTCCTGGTCCCACACTGGGGTTGAGTCAATGACGACTGACCTGAGAGCAGTCTTCCTCAGGTAGCCCTCATCTGAACCCTGAGCACGGATCAGACACTACCATTAAGCACATTCATGGACCCCAGCAGCAGGCTGTCAGGCTCAATAGTACTGACAGGAAGTAAGTGTATGAACCTCCTCACCCGGACTGCCTCCCAGCTCCAGCTGTCTCCCAGCTGCTGCGACTTCTGCAGCAGGAGCTGACAGCAGCGATGGAAGTTCTCCTCATCAAGCACACACGAGCTCATCTCTGCACAGCAACATGGGGGAGAGCAAAGGAGGGAAATGAGAGTGGGTACAACTATAGATTACATCTTTTTAATATGGAAACAGATAAATTTTACTGAATGTAAAATCATATGCCAGTTGTGCCAGATGGGTCTCTACACAATCCAGGATTGCCTTGCAGAGTTAGTCAAATTAAAACATTATTTGAAAATTACAGAAATGGTCAGAAGAAATTTAATGTAAACCAAAACTGAGGATCAGTTGCAGCTGTAGTCCTATTAAGCATATGTACCGCTCAGAGCACTATGTCACTCTTAACCTGATCAGAGATCAGAGGTCTGTCTGTGCCCAGTTGAGATGTAGTATCCTGCCTCTGGGAGTGGAGACTGGATGCTTTCATTCAACACAAGAGGAGAATAAAAAATGTCACCTGTGTGACCTCAGAGAGATTTAAAATGAAATACACTTTCTGTTCTACTGTCCATTTTATTACAATCTCAGATTTAAGCTTTTCCTTAAATTGTCCTGATTTGTTTTCCATGTCTGATGAATGCAGACTTGAGTTTCTGTTTACAGATAAAGTGTTTCAGTTAGATCAGTTTGTGTCAAATGCTTACCAACTGCGTCTGAATCTGAATAAATTACTGCATGTTCAATTAGTCATATTTCTATAATATTATTACTGTCACATAAATATAATATATATATAACATAGTACTACTACTAATATTACTCATATTTCTATAATTACTATTATAGTTGTTATTGCTATTATTGTTGCTGCTATGCATCTCCCTTTATGTCTCATTTTGTTCTGCGGATTACTGTTAATTTATTATGCTGATCTGTTCTGTACGACATCTATTACACTTCTTTCCATCCTGGAAGAGGGATCCCTCCTCAGTTGCTCTTTCTGAAGTTTTTAACATTTGTTTCCCCATGAACAAGTTTTTTTGGCCAGGTTTTCCCCATCCGCTGTGAGGGTCCAAGGACAGAGTGATGTCATAAGCTGTAAAGCCCTGTGAGGAAAATTGTGATTTGTGGTATTGGGCTTTATATATAAAATTGATTGACTGATTTGAATTTGGATTTATTGAGAGGACTGCCCCTTAAGATGTAGCATCTCATTTTAAAGGGGGACCTCTAGACACAAATACAAAACAAATACATACACATAACAAACATACAATACAAATACACAGACACATACACCTCACTAGCCATCGCCAATCCACACCCCGTGCCCTCAGCTGTTGTACAAGAAAAACTGGAATTGGCTACCGTCAACTTAAAAACATGAGCAAGCTGTCTTGAGATGTGAATATAAAGAAGTCCTGAAAGAGGTAACAGATCTTAAGAAAAGAAGATTATTCCAGTCACATTAGAATGACCTTTTTCCAACATTTTTGAAAATTCTGGGGACAAAGAAAAAGGGATATTGCATATGTCTAAGCCGATATGAAGAATTACATGGAGTCAAAAACTGTTTGGAATACAAGGGACGACTGAAATGAACACATTTGAAAATTAACTGAACCCAGTGAAATTGCCTTCTAAATTTAGGCTGCAACTAATTCAGTGATTCAGCAAGCATTGGTAAGGTCTACATGGACACCTCAAAACTTAATCAACAACAATGAATCATATTTTATAAAGTGATCATGTTTTCTATGCACAGTACAGTATTTAACTGCTGTCAGATTAATATTGTGCAGTAAAAAGTGGTACGATGTTTCCACCTTAACCTGGCTAAAGTAAAAGTATAAGTAAGTAGCACTTTGAGGAGCAGCTGATATGTACTGTAGATATTCTGTCATACCTGTTGCCTCATGTGCCACCTTGCAGCACACCAGCCAAATGGAGCACAGCCAGTCTGTGTACCATACTACGTCCTAACAACAGTATGCCGTACACAAATGCTCATAGTAATAGTAGCACATTAAAGATCTGTGTCTTTTGTTCTTTAAATTATATATTTAGAACATTAAATCCTATACTTTCTTTTTACAGCCAATTCAAGGCAACATTTTGAAAAGAAATGCATGGGCAGATCTTTACAGCGTTGGAGGGAAACGGACAGCACAAGATGAACTGTACAGGCTTCTACGCTGGCAAAGCACTTTGTTATAACGTTAGTTTCTATACGCATCGCAACACAGCGGACTTGAAGACGAGTCACGTTATTCTAACAGCCGTTTCTCAAACACATTTATATCGCAGTGTTACTGTTGTTGGTTTGAGGTGACAGATTAAACCTTTAAGCCCTTCACACAGTACAGAATATAGAAAACACACACTGCTAGTGACTTACAGCTTTCTTTTCCACTTACAGCTGTCTTGAAGGAACGGCTGAAGCAATGTTTCTGTTCCGGGTCGTGAGATCACGTGACTACTACCGTCACCTTTTAGATTTATTATAATAATCTGTCAAACAACACATTTATACCAAAAGGCTGGAAAACGTAAAAACTGCCTAAATACCAAGAAGGTTCTTTCACAAAAAAAGGGATTTTAATCAAGTATTACTTTTGTCCTTCGTCATCCTTGAACTGGCTGCGGTCTGTTGTTTGTCTTACAGCCGCTAGATGGCAGCACATACCAGGTTAGAGCTGCAGCAGCTGCAGTGGCCTGTAGGGGTGACGTGACAGCGCCACACAGAGTAGGGTAGTATGTTGTCCACCATTTGACCTGCAAGCACAGCAGGACCTACTTCTGCACCCAGGCTGAGAGAGTAAACTGTTCTAATACCGAGGTCACGAGGTTTCACTTTAAGAGTTTTAAAGACACTTTTAAAGGGGAACGCCACTTACATTAAGAATTCCAATATGTTATTTCCATGGCCAAGGAGAGTTTAAACAGTATTTGTGAACAGAGCTATGCTCTCTCAAAACCACTAACCAGAGAAGTAAAGTGGAAAACACACCACTGCTGCAGCACAGTGACGCTCATAGCACGCATTGGATGCATCGCGCTGCAGCTCGTTAATAGGCAACCATACAAAGTTATACTACTTTCACTGAAAGGTCTGTACTTCCTCCACCTTTGTATTTGCTTAAAATCATGTGCAGACAGCCCCTGATTCAATTTGAATTTTCATCTGAAGAGCTGATTTCCAGAGCTATGACTCGCCAACCAATATCTTTTTGATCGTTGTCTTTATAATGTCAGGACTGTGGGTTAAGCTTGGGATATTCCTCAGCCTCAATGTGCATTAATTGTCACACATGAGACACAGCGACAGCTACAGAGTTCTCTTTGCATCAGAAAAAGAGTTGCTACGGGAGTTGGTATGTACAAGCAGAGAGCGAGTGGAAGAAAAATGCATTTAATTTCAGGGGTGGTGAGGCAGGAAACAGGACAGTGGTGTGAAGTGCTGCAGGGCACCACATGCAGGAGCTCTGATGCACGTCTAGCCACAGCTGGTGTGGGATTATACGCTGAAAATAATAGGGTGTATTTTTTGATACTAGCTAGTCATTCTGAACTGAGTGAACGCTGAGGATCAAGCATGGCCCTTATGTATTATGAATATGTGTTTGTATGTATATCTATGTTTATGTTTAATGTCCTTTATGTTGGAACTTGTACCAATGTGCTGTACTGGAAACAAATTCCACCAGCCTGGCTGTGTGGTCATTAAAAGAATCAATCATTCCTGCTATCAGCTGTTTCCTGTTTATCCACCGCCAATGGGTCACACGTGCGGCATCATCAACAGCCCCTCCCATGGCAGAAGGGCGCCTCATTCTTTTTAAACCAAAAGATTCCACCAATATGTCTACCCTACGAGGCGGAAAATTGGGCACCTCGGATCAACTCGCCAACCCGGCTCTGTGTGTCTAAATGCTCGCAGCTTGCCGGCAAAACGGCCCAACATTCGCCGAAAATCTGGCAGTGTAAAAGGGGCTATAGTCAGCTGATAAGAGGAAGCAGTGGGAGTGGGATGGAGAGAATTGTGAATGGATGAGCACAAAGAAAGTCTTCCTGATTGAACTTAAGTTGAGCTTTATTAGAGACAATGGAAGTTTATGGCAGTTTTCCCAGCAGAGTTCAAATAACGGTAACCATTTATAACAATTCAATGAACACGACCTTGACTCAGATAGCAACAAAAAAATGGATGGATGGATTAACCAGTTGAAAATAATTAATTTATTAAGTCTGTTAAGGTTTTGCTCAAAATCAGCATTTGCGCGTCTGATGAACTTCCTCACAACTTAAGTAGTGACAGTGCTACAATGTTGTTTCCTGAAACTCCACGAAAAAAAGTATTCAACAGCCTCCTGCACAACAATCCACTGTAACAGCAATCCTACTGTATATCTCTTGACACTGTTACAGCTGCAATATATCACATACTCAGTTTTTTAGCATTGTTGTCCTCTGCTTCATATTTTAAGCCTAACAGACAGCCACACTGTGAGTTGAGCAGTACAGAGACATCCTGTTGATGGTCAGGCCGCTTTACACTGTAGAGGCTAAACAATATACATGATTTTGCTGTTCTAATATTCTTAACATTTGTGGAGCCCCAACTGTTTGACTTATGTATACCACCAGAGAACAGGTTGTGGAATACAGATGTTTAAGGGCTGAGAGAACAAGGGCAGACAAACAATATGTACAACTGTACCATTTAATGTATATGACAATAAACCTGAACTTGACTTGTGTTCAGGTTTAAGTTTAAGCAAAATTTGTGCTGGGACCATTAAGACTGTCAGATAATTTCATTGCAATCGAGCCAGTTATTTGTTGGGGATTTGAGAGAAGGGTTATCATATAATGAACAAAATGGTTTGAGATCCTTTGAGGGGTTTCAAAGTGTTCATTACTTCATTGTAACGTCATGTCAGATTTTTTATTTTTATTTTTCTTAAACGTTACAACTAGAAAATTTGGATACTAGAAAGGTCACCAATGACACCACTAACAGTAGGATTCATCCTCCAGGAACAACGAATGCACAATTATTTTTAATGGCAGCCCAGTCATTAGAGTTGATATTTTGACCTGATGGTGACACTAGGAGAAATTTCATGAGGCATCTACAAACCTACAGGCAGATCCTCTTGGGAGAATGAAGGAGAGCAATCTGGTCATTTCATTTTGATATTTCATGTGCACATGTGTAAACTTTGGCCTGCTGGCAGCCATGGATAGATTACTGAGCAGGCCTACTGGGTACAGGCCCAGAGGCCCAAGGCGTCATGACAACAATCAACGGAGGCATGACGGTGAGACAGGGATGCTTAATTGCAGCTCTTGAAAAAACTACAAACCAAACTTTTAAAATGAGATAACCCACAAAAAAACATAAGAGAGAGCAGCACTGTTCTGCCCTTTTCTCAGACTGACTCTAAGGGCGCATTCACACCACTATAGTCTGGGGGACTTGGTTCGATTGGCTGGGGAATAACGAAAAAATTTCATACCTTCATTTGGTTCGATTCACTTTCACACTGCATTTTTTAAAGCGGACCAAACCGCCTGGACAATGTCACGCAGTTACAACAGCTGCTTGTTTGGGGGTGGTATTGCCCGAAACAACCACTGACCAGGAAGAAAAAAAGCATGAGGAAGAAGAAAACCCAGCTCATCGATTGGCCAGGACCCAAAACGGAAATCCATCCCCTTCAGCCAGCAACTGCAATATATAGTCCTCTGACCATATATCAATGAGCGCCTGCACATCCTTATTACTCCACATATACCCACAAGACATTTTCCAACTTTTTCTTTTTTCATCTCTGCTTCTCCCAGTTTGCGCTGTTGGCTTTGTTTTTTTTATAACCAAAATGCACTGTGCTCTACATAACTTCCTCTCTTTGGTTCACTTCCTCTCTTTAGTTCGCTGGATAGTCTGTTTGCATTTCCCATTGTAAGCAAACTGCACCAGGGTTCACTTGCAAGTGAACCGAGACCCCCAGTTTTCAAGTGGACCAGGGTTTGCTCATTTGTTCCGCACCAGAGTTCAAATGAGCGTTCACACCACTCCAAACAAACCGAACTATCCGTGGAAGTGGACCAGGGTTCGTTTAAAGTGGACCAAATAGCACCAGTGTGAATGCGTCCTAAGAGCCCATAAAGTCTCCTAATAGTCTGCAGGTAGACCTCCTATCCCTACAGCCTTGCTACTCTCAAGGTTATGCAGCACAGCATGCAGCTCCTCAGCAGAGATGTGTGCCTCCAGCTCTGCACTGGCCTTTGCAGTGACCTTGGGTAGGTCCTCACAGAAAGACTGCACCACCTCTGGCCTCTCTTTCAACTCTTCTTTAAAAATCCTCTCAAAGAAATCAACTGCAAACAGACAAATCTCAGCAGACTAGTGCAGCAGTTCCCCAGTGTATACATCACAACTGGCTGTCTTAAGACTGTCTTAAGCAATGAGCAGTGGAGGAACCTATCTACTTTTGACAGACAGGTAAAAGGTCCTTTATAAAACATTTAGAGCACTAATATAGCAGCAAACAGCTATTCTTAATGTAAAGATATAGAAGAGTGATGGCATCCTGAGCAGAGAAAGAAGTTCCTGGGGGTGTTTGTGTTACTGTTGTATACATTAATTGATGAAGTGATGGTTGATAATGCACAAACTGAACTTGCACAGGCTAATAATTTGGATAGGCTGAGGATCCTCAGTTGAAGTTTAATGTGAATATATTGTGTTTAGCAGCTCATATTAAGGGAATATTTACTGTGCAATCTGACCATATGGAAAGACTTGAGATCTCTTGTTCCTTCTCATTTCACGCCCTCATGGCCCTGCACACTCGAGATATTCAGGGCTCAGTCCACATGTCACAAGACAGCATGTTTGGATTCAACTTACCTCAAGAGTCTTTGGAAAAAAAGAGAAATGCAGTGTACCATTATTCTGTGTTTGCCACTTGAGGTCAAAGTGGTCGCTGTTCAGCAAAAGTTACTTTGAGAGATAAACACCTCAGTGAGAGAGATGGCAAAAGAAGCCATTTATTGAAAGAATCAAAAGAAACTAAACATGAACACTTTTTTTTTTCAATCAAGCAAAATGTAACAGTTTCCACGTCGAAAAACACAGTCAACACAACGCCTCTGAAACGCCCCTGCCCGGTGTGATCAGGCAGTTCTGTACCAAGGGCAAAGAGCAAAACAGCAGTTTTTTGTTCGGAATCTTTTGTAACACATAAACCTTCAGACAGAGAAAAATTAAAATCCAGCACATGGCTTTTTAAATCAAATATATACATTTGTTCTTACAGCATTTACACATACAAGAAAAAAATAAAACAAAGCAAGTACCACAGAAGAACTCTATCTGTCAATCCAAAGGTAAAAAAAACAAACAAACAAAAAAAAAAAACACACACCATGTAGACAGAAGTGAAATTGAAGCATGATGATGCTGCCAGAACAGTACAATATTGTCTTTATTAATGCTGACAGTGAGAAGCAGCGGGGTTTCCTGGGTTCCAGAGGGACAAGGGGAGACACATGGTAATGACAGGTCTGGGTACCGGACAGGAACATGCTAGCACAACCCTGAGCTCAGAGCGAGATGACAGGGAGAGGGTCTTTCTCCCAGCTGGGGTCACTTCACTTCCGCTGTAGTCTTATTTAGGAAGAAGGGGTGCATCAAAACCTAAAACCTCCTACAATTACTACAAAGCTGTGTTGCTAAAACATGTCATATTTACTCTATTGTTAGCTAACCAGCTTGCTCAGGAGCATTGGTGGCAGGTCTGTCAGTAGTGTAATTATGACTGAACATGGATTTCATTAGTATGTGTGCAGTTTTTAAAGGACAAGTTTGGATTTTTTCAAGGTTACTCTTAAAGGAATAGTCCACGCATAAAATGACCATTTATATATCAACTACTCACCAAGTGTTACCTTGAATTTGTGAAGAAAACTATGTTTTTCTCGCATGCCTCCACAATGAACAAAGAATGGAAAAAACATTCTTCATGAATTAAAGTGATTGGGGGCAGTGTTTAGCAACAGCGAAGCTGTATCAAAACATCTGTTTACACTTACACAACTCGCACAGTACAATCCAAGTCTCACTTCCTCCTATAAGTAGTGCACCTCTTGTGTGCACACGTGTGTAAGCTCCATTTGAGCAGGGTTCAAATGCATGCGTGTGCCCAGGCACATCATTGTCAGTTAATTAGGGAGAGGTGATGAGACTGCACAATAAATGGACGGTGAAGGACCAGCAAGCGGTCAGCTCGGTAAAATGAATATATGAATCAAAATGACCCCTATCTTGGCCACAGATAAGATTATGTATGCATCTCTGTACTACTTATGGCACTTAGTGTTTGATTCTGACCCACTAAAATACATGAAGTGACTAAGTGTAAATGGGGCAGCAAGTCTATCCCTACCCATAAGGACTGTGGACCTTTTTTTTTTTATCTTATCCTGCCCTCCTCTACACAATACTGTCACCATATGCACTCAAAAGCATCAAGTACATATGGCCAATACCACTGTGTAAGCTGTGTCTTTTTTCTGACACAGCATTATGTTGGGAAGTGAAGTAAGCCCAGCAGAGCTGTTGCTGTTGACACACTGAAGCAGAGCTGCAGCACAGATTTAAGGTGAGGTGAAGGTAGGTTTTGGGGAAGACAGACTCACTGAGAGTTGTTAGACACTGACTGAGGCGCTGCATTCACACTGATATGGCTTCAGGCCTTGAGACATGTCAGCGACATGCAGACATGTACACAGATGACGAGGGTCAGGGTGGAGGCGTGCTTGGTAATCCATCCCCCTTCATTATAAGGGAACACACAATAGTAAAGCAACAGGTTTCTTCCTGTGGCTGGCTTTGAGATAGACAGACAAACAGACAGAAAGACAATTGGAGGGAGACAAAGCAAAGCTGAGGGCATTGACAAGGTGCTCATCATGAACGTAGTCAAAAGTGTTCTTTGACATAATGCAGAAGCACTGCTGGAGTTCCTTCTCTGTGTGTGGTCTAGGATCTACAGCACAAGCAACTATAAACACCCAAAATCTGAAGTGTCATTTGGAGAAAATGCTGACATGTAAAATGACCACAATCTCCCTTCCACCCTCCTATGCTAGTATTGTAGTGTAACATGTCCTGTAATAGTGAACAGACAGTTTGATTAGTATTGCTTTCAGTGTAGGTTTATAGTGCCTGGTGGTCTACATAATCACAGATATTTACCAACACTGCTTTGAAAGGAGAGTTTTGGTGTCCTGTAATATCACAGCTGGGAAACGCTTGAGGCATTGTTCTCGTGACTCATGGGACACAATCAGGGATTTTGTGCTTCTTTAACTTTTGAACTCCCACACATTTGTGTGTGGATGTATATAAGACATTTCACAAATGAAGAAATGATTGCACTTGTAAATGTCTGATTGTTATGGCTTGGTTTATTTGCTTCTCAGCCAAGATAAAAAAAAAAAATGCATAGCTGTGGTCTAGTTCATGTTCTCACTGACATATTAAATATAAACTAAAGTGGGAATTATACTTCTTCATTGAATCAATGCTGTACCTACAGCATAGCCTATGCACTAACCTATGCCGTAGCCTGATGTGCGCCACCCCAAAAGTGTATCTAAACGTAGCAGCGACGCAGACCTCCAGTCTACTTATGTAAGCTGAAACCATTTCAGTGCAAATTAAGCTTTTGTTCACTTTAATTTCACAGACAGGAGAAACTAAACTGTGAGGACAACAAAGCCCCAACAAAATAGCATTTTAGGTCTTGTGTGTGATTTATCTTGGCTTCATATGAGTAGGGGATATCTCCGCTTGTTGCTAGGCTAATTCATACCATGAAAAATGCCATAGGTTTGTGCTAATAAGGTTAGCATGTTGTGTCCAACAAAGACAAGTGTTTTGTCTGTGAATCCTGTTATAATGAAGCCAATTTGTGTACTTGTGTCTGTTATTGTCGCTATTAAGCCATGTTTCATGTGTGTTTTAGATGTGTTTTGAATCAGCTAAATTTTACAGCACTTCACAGACACCCCACCACTGACTAGTGTTATAGAGTGGTAACTGCAGAGTAACACAGGCGCCACACAAGTATAAATGCTCACAACAGCGTAGGCCACGTGCTTAGGCTACATGTGTAGGCTACAGCGCACAGAGCTGACACACAAGTATAAATCTGCCTTAAGAGGTGTAAATATGAAGTCGTATGGACAAAATGGTAGCTCATTCATTGGACAGTTTTGGTGATGTCATCCTGCATCATTAGCGCAAAATGGAAACACAGAAGAAAGTAAGATTTGGAGTGGAACCAGGTCATGGTGCACTTTAACTAACCTGATTTTTGTATTAAATCGATGATAGGCATTACTTTGACAACTTAACGAATGTCCGAAAATTACATTATGCAATCAGCCAGATCATAGTTGCTCAAAATGATGTCATGGGCCAACAATGGCCCTCAGAAACATTCTGTTTGGTGTGGTCCCCGAAAGAGAAAAATAAAATGCATGCACCATATAATTGTCCGCAGTCCATTTCAATACTTTAACTGTCAATATCGCATTTAATATATGACAACTGTGTCAAACTGCGCCTCTCTATCAAGTGTCTGTCAGGTTAGGAATGAAAACTTGCAGAAAGCTACTGGTTGGTTGGCAACTAGTGGTGCCTTGCTAGTGTGGCAAAAATTACATTTGGTCATCAATGCTAGTGCTGCTAACTAAAATTAGCGATTTCAGTGGATAACATGACAATTTAATGTGGAAGTGAGCTATAAAAGCCACCACAGAAAATGTTGTATGGTTGAGGAGAAAAGGAAGTTCCGGGAAAAATAGATTAACATTAACTCTTACTTCAGTGGACCTCAGGAGACAGACATAAATTCGTTGCTCAAGGAAATTAATGTTAAACGGCGTTGTGAGCCCAATCACAAATCCTACGACAACTTCATGGATGAAGAGCACAACCGTTAACATCAAAAATTTTCAACAAGACTTATTTGCCCAACAGTAAGTGCTCACAAATCATATGCAAAGTAGAGAAGGTGTAAGACAGGCAAGCTGTGTAATAGCTCACAAAACTGCTCAGTGTGGTTAGCAGTTCAGTGGAGAGTTTGTGCGAAACTGTTAGGTCAACATGGTCAACATCTTATGTTCAGAACCTGTATGGTCCTCAATTATATGCTGGCTTCTTAAATTGGCACTCAGTCATCCAAACTTTGAGGACCGAAGACCTACATCATTTCTGTAGAAACACTCCCACCCTGATGGAGTGCTGTCTTTTTTTAAGAGAATAAAGACATTCGATCATTCCATCAAACACCGAAGTTATAAAGGGTAATGCTTCTTCATCAGGGAACCCATCTAACATTCCGGCTTACGAACAAAATACAGACACCAGCACACTGATCAGCAGCTGAAAGTGGCCTTTAGTAGTTTGGCAAACTCTTCTACCTGTAATTAATGTTTATTATTTATTGCTGAATAAACCAGCTGTCATTATAGGTGGAGAAATTTAGGATCTTACACTTTACAATTAAAATTGTGACCCTTGAGATATAATAACACTCTTTCATTTTACAAATTTGAAACATGAGTACAATTGCTTAACCTTAAGAAAAGCTAACGCATTGTGGGAGGCACTAAAGTTAGCAAAACTGGCCAGCTAGCTTCCACTTTCCCAGTGGACATCAAACTTAACAGCATGACGGGTCTTCTCTTTTGAATATGTAAAGTGACAGACATCTCACCTGATAGACAGCTATCATTATCTGGACTTGTTAAAAAGTCATAAAGATATATAAACTTCAATTTTGGGGGGTCATTTCCTATGTTCCAAGGGTTCTATGTTTCCCAGCTCTGTACAGCACATAATGGGAACCTGAGAAAGATGTTCCCCAGTTCTGTAATCACTTAACGTGACATGGGTTAGGATAGGGGACTAAAATTTTGACTCAGAGAATGGTAAAATTGTACTGGCACATGTCTTCCAAAATTAATTGTGGCCCAAGAAATTAAAAACTATTGTAAGAATAAATTAATTGAAAAAATAACAACTAACCAATTAAGTAAGGGTCAGAAAAAAGCTTTAAGGCCAGATTAAATCCCCATTTTCAAATGGGTTAGGGATAGGAAAAGAAAACCTGGAAAGGGGCTCTGAAACCTGCACATGCAAAATTACTTGTTGGTTATAATTTAACATTTGAATCTATTTACAGCTCTTTCTCTGATATGTCTTATGTATTGATATGCAAGGTAAACCAAAGCTGTTTCAGGGATAGACAGTGACACGAAAGTGGCATGAACACAACAGGAGGAGCTTGTGTTAACAGAATACTGAACTGGGAAACATAGGACCTTGGATACATTAATGTGCTCCTTGTTTTTTGTTTTTGTTTTTTAAATCTAAAATTGGATGTAGAAATGTAAGAGTAGTTTATCTTTTGAATCCATGCTAAAAAAACACATATCAGCTATCACAAAACCCTGTTGTTAGTCTGGTTTGAGTTTTGTTGGAAGCTTACCAAACCCCCTAAGCAGTCTTGGTACACTTCTTTGGTCTGCAGTTTGTCCAAGTTTGAATGATAACGTGCACACAAGCCTGAACATACCAAGGTAAATGAGCAAACGCACCACAGTTCATTGAAACTGAACCAAAAGTTGGGTAAAGGCACTCAAAGGGCCTGCACATATGCCATAGTTTTGCACCCTAAAATCCATTGTTGTCAATAAAGTCACACAGAAGGCGCGCTCAAAAGCAAGAGCATGACTGTTGTGGTGTGCAAGTGTTCCCAAACAACTATTTTTTGGGATGCAATGGTTGCGCCCTGAGATAAACAAAGTTCAGCTTTTGGAATGCAGCAATGGGCACTCCATTTCATAACGAGGAACATCAAATCACAGCTGGCAGATATCTTTTCTTTCTTCCGTAAATATCAATCTGTAGTAAATATATAAAAGAAGTCGATCATTTTAGTGCAGGGCTACCCAGAACATTCAATCTGTCAAACGGATATATTAGGTCTAATACACACTTAAAATACAAGATCTGGAAAAAGATCAGCTCCGAACTCACAATTTCTAGCAAGTAGGCTACGATTAGGTGCTGGTTATGGTAGCTTAAATTCAGGTGCACCCTATCACTGCAGCCTTGAAAGTTGGCACAGAGTAGGGACAACAGTAGTACCCAGCACCCAACCTTGCATTTTCTAGGCTGTAAAAGACGCGGCATGTGTGCCAGCCCTAAGATAGTGCCACTAGTGATCTATTATACCTTAGGCCAAATCTAACTTTTTTCATACCAAAAAACACATGTTCATTCTTTTAGTTATAAATGGCATGATTCTCGTTAGTGTGGAATAACCATATCCAGTCACAGGACACTAAAACTCTCCAATGAAATGTTTTGTCAGTTGACATGAATATGTTAAAGACAAATGTGTTAATTTATCAGCATAATGATATGATAGTGTATGGATAAGTATGCGTAAGAGACTATATTTTATATTGTGTATGTATCCGTCCAAATCCCTCAGTGTCAGTGTCCTCTGTTTCCTTTGTCACTCAGTCATCGCACATGCCCAGGCCTTCATTTATAGCAATCACAATATCCAGCTTAACAAGAGCTATAGCTTAGTCAGAGCTAGCTTACAAGCATTTGTGTTTCAGGACTCTCAAGTTAACTGAGCTGATTAATTATTGTCACACAGTATACCAGCATCACTGACTTTCCAAAGTGAATTCTAATTTTTGACAGATAGAGTTCAGTATCTGTTTTGCAAAGATGTCAGGACCTTTTTCGAAACTTGTTTAAACAGAGACATCAACACTGTGACACAGGCCTTTCTCAGAGTGGACATTTGACTTGTTATTGCAGGAAAAGCACAGATGGAGCTAATAATGTTAATGGTGCTCCTGACCAACCAGGAGCAACAAGTTTCAGTTTACAAAGAAGCTCTGGTACCAATTGCTGAAGTTGGTTAGGGTTGTCACTTTTTCAAGCATTGTTAAAATGTACTGACCTGTAATTAATTCAAAATTTGCAGTCTATCACTACAACAGGCTGTGACTTTTACTCCAGCATTCATTAACTGCACTCTGAACTGTCACTCTGATCCATCAGTAAACTAAACTATTGTTGTTTTCCTTCCTAATGCGAAATGGAGGTAACTAGTGAACTATGCTGAACAAATAATCATGACACCAAACCTTCTGATAAGTAATGTTAAGAATGTTGGATTTGACTCCATAGATGTGAAAAATGTGGATAAAAGCTCTTTGCTGACTGCCTTACAGTAGCATTACCACAACTCATCTGAGGTCACCTGTTAGTTTGTCACTCAGTGAGGAAGTGGAGGCACTGCATATAAACAAAATCATGAAAACTCAGATTATTCTTAATCAATTGAGCCTGATTTGTTGACAGTAACAGCCCCAACACTGATCAAAGTGTTAAGCTGATCAATCCACATAGTTAGTGTTTTTAGAAGCTTCTGTTACTCCTACATTGCAGAGAACATACAGACATTCAGTTTGCCACATGTATAAATCCACACTAACTCCAAGACCAAGTGTGATGTAAGTAAATTTTCACTGCGAGTCTGCCTGGTGAAGGCAGTTTGCATAGCTGGTTTCCTCTCAGCTCTTCAGGAGCTGCTGCCAGGACATCTGCTTTTGTGGACAGAAAAGCAGAGTCCCACAGTAATTTTAATGTGTTATGTATCTATACATGTTAGGCCATTCACTGTTCTTTAAATGTTGCACTTTTAGAAAGACAAATATACAACTTTAATTTAAAGGAGTGCATTGATTGTAAGGAACAAAACATTTACTGAGAACAAGCCCTCTCATATTTAGGTATAGACTCGTGGGAACCCATAGCACCCATTTTCATTTTTATATCTTGAGGTGAGAGTCCAAAAGACCTCTCTGAAAATGGCCATGTCAGTTGTTCCCTCACCAAAATTTAGCCTAAAGGTGTGTGCCCACATAGCATTTTTCTTCAGCAGAAAAGCGGAGGCAGAGCGCTACACAAACATGCTACACGTGGGTATGTTTCTATGACAACAATATCTTGACATTAACGTTAGCTAGGTAGCTAAAGAAATGCTACATTAATAGAGGGTTAAACACACAGTTAATAACAAGCTTACAACAGGTATGGGGATAAAAGCACAACACTCAGCAGCAACATTCAGTGTCTGGCTGATCTGCTCCCACAAATGGACCTTTCTGTCATTACAGTTTTTGACTGACATATCATTCAGGGGCTAGAGGAGTGGCAGTGATGACACCAGTGCCTTTCTGAAAAGTTCAGAGATTTTCAACGAGAAGCGCTGAGAGCCGGGGCACAAAAAAGCGTGCTGGGTGCACTGCTCTTCTCTAGGCAAAAAAAAAGCTATGTCGACACAGGCCCTAACTTTGTAGCATAATTTTTATCCCTTCCTGACAAGCTATGCTGACATGGTTGGTACCAGTGGATAACTTTGGTTGTCTAGTTTCACAAGAATCATTGTGCTAGCTTATAAAATAAATACCCCAATAAACACAATATTTAGTTTTGCCAGGCAGGGCTGATTGGGGGGCCAGCAATTATACCAAGGTGGCCATGCCCCCATTTCCCTCCTTGTGGGCACCACCAAGGACAGAGATGGCAGAACAAAGGTCAGAGTCAGTGTGGATTAAACAGATAGAACGCTAGGTAGTTAGCAAACTATGTAGGAAGATAATCCCATTTACAATGCTTTGATTAATCAAGCCAAAATGTTCTCTGTGAGAAAGGCCTATTACCCTTTGTATGGAGGTAGTCACTTTATGGGTCCTTGGACAGTTGCAGTGCATTTCGCTCTTGATGCTCAAGCAAATTGACAGTCGGATTATACAGTGTCCATTGAGAAACAGTTAAACTAGTCAGTTTTCAGACATGTCCCATGTTTGTTTGTCTCTCCAGCCTGAACATTTTGTTCATGTGACTGTCCAAGTTTATTTCTTTCTGTACTTAGTGTTCACTTTGTTCTAAATCTAAGTGATTTAGGGTCATTCTCCTCATGTCTTCATTAATTTCTAAACAAAATGCTGTCTGTGTTTTTTTTTACCAAGTTTGTTAGACCTGTCTTGCTTTCTCTTCCAGCTAGTCATTCATCCATCTAAACATTTTGACTTTTTTTTTTTGTTCAGCCCCAAGATCCCAGTCTCTACACCTGTGTGAATTCTGGTCCATCTATGAATTCTGAAACATGGGGCAGTTTGTCTGTAGTTTACAGTACATCCAATCTACTGAGAGGATCGTCTTAAACATGTGAGACTTTTTGCGTCTCTCTTGCCTGTTTGATGCTGTACAGCCACTTAATGACTCTTGCATTTCGCTCTACAGCCGAGATGCCATATGGAACACGCTCCCCAGCCTCCTCCTCCTCGTCCTCGTCCCCGTCTGACAGCCCATCATTGGAGGATCTCCGCGATCGGTCGCAGTCGGAGGAGATCATAGAAGCTGATCGGAAGTTCAGACTGACGATGTCTGAGTTGGCCCGCGCAAAGTTCTCTGGACCAACTGCCTCCAACTCCTCTGGGTCGAGGCCGCAGTAGTTAAAAAAGCGTTCCACGTCAGCACCAGCCCGAGCATACCGGTCTGACAGATCTGATTTAGATCTGTGCAGCGAGGAGCGACGGGCCACAGATGAACCAAGCTCAAGCTCCACGTTGGCTTCGGTTGAAGTATTGGAAGGGTCTCCAAAATCACAAGGTAAGGACTGAGGGGTGGTATTGTCACAGAGCGAAGGGGATGGAGTTGGGCGAGGGGGAGGCAGTGACAAGGAAAGTGCAGGTGGAGGGAGCGAGGCAGGGTTGGGTTTTGGAGGGAGGGGTGGAGCTGAGGAGCTGCTGGATCGGGCTGTGCGAAGTGGCTTGCCATTGCACAGGCGCAGGAGGTCAGAGGAGGAGTGGGAGGTGAGAAGAGGCGGTAATGGGGAGCGAGAACGATCTATAACTCCTTCACCTCGTCTGCTTAGGTTGAGGTTTGCTCCCTGTTGTGGACTGCGACGTCCTCCACTGTTGATGGGAGGGACCTTCAGGGAATGGGAGAAGGATCTGAGGGAGTGTGAGGTGCTCGGACTAGGAGCTGAGTCTGGTGGTTGCTCATTAAGTGTCATTGTAGATCGGTAGGTCAACGGCATCCTAGGAGGAGAAAACAGAAAGATAAGTACATGTAATGCTGTAGAATTGGGTAGAAAGACAAAATCAAGGCCCAATCCCATTTCTTATATTAACCCCTACCCCTTGTTTATGACTGTCCCTTTACCCTTTGGAACAGAGTTACAAGGGGTGGTGGTTGAAATCTTCCCCTATAAAATGGGATAACCCATCAAGACCCTAATACGTCATCAGTAGTCACTGATAGTGTTAAACGTCTGCAACTATGGCACTAATTGTATAACCACAATGACACTTGCCATATATCTGATCTTACTATACAGTACAGGCCAAAAGTTTGGACACACCTTCTCATTCAATGTGTTTTCTTTATTTTCATGACTATTTACATTGTAGATTCTCACTGAAGGCATCAAAACTATGAATGAACACATGTGGAGTTATGTACTTAACAAAAAAAGGTGAAATAACTGAAAACATGTTTTATATTCTAGTTTCTTCAAAATAGCCACCCTTTGCTCTGATTACTGCTTTGCACACTCTTGGCATTCTCTCCATGAGCTTCAAGAGGTAGTCACCTGAAATGGTTTCCACTTCACAGGTGTGCCTTATCAGGGTTAATTAGTGGAATTTCTTGCTTTATCAATGGGGTTGGGACCATCAGTTGTGTTGTGCAGAAGTCAGGTTAATACACAGCCGACAGCCCTATTGGACAACTGTTAAAATTCATATTATGGCAAGAACCAATCAGCTAACTAAAGAAAAACGAGTGGCCATCATTACTTTAAGAAATGAAGGTCAGTCAGTCCGGAAAATTGCAAAAACTTTAAATGTGTCCCCAAGTGGAGTCGCAAAAACCATCAAGCGCTACAACGAAACTGGCACACATGAGGACCGACCCAGGAAAGGAAGACCAAGAGTCACCTCTGCTTCTGAGGATAAGTTCATCCGAGTCACCAGCCTCAGAAATCGCAAGTTAACAGCAGCTCAGATCAGAGACCAGATGAATGCCACACAGAGTTCTAGCAGCAGACCCATCTCTAGAACAACTGTTAAGAGGAGACTGCGCCAATCAGGCCTTCATGGTCAAATAGCTGCTAGGAAACCACTGCTAAGGAGAGGCAACAAGCAGAAGAGATTTGTTTGGGCCAAGAAACACAAGGAATGGACATTAGACCAGTGGAAATCTGTGCTTTGGTCTGATGAGTCCAAATTTGAGATCTTTGGTTCCAACCGCCGTGTCTTTGTGAGACGCAGAAAAGGTGAACGGATGGATTCCACATGCCTGGTTCCCACTGTGAAGCATGGAGGAGGAGGTGTGATGGTGTGGGGGTGTTTTGCTGGTGACACTGTTGGGGATTTATTCAAAATTGAAGGCACACTGAACCAGCATGGCTACCACAGCATCCTGCAGCGACATGCCATCCCATCCGGTTTGCGTTTAGTTGGACGATCATTTATTTTTCAACAGGACAATGACCCCAAACACACCTCCAGGCTGTGTAAGGGCTATTTGACCAAGAAGGAGAGTGATGGAGTGCTGCGGCAGATGACCTGGCCTCCACAGTCACCGGACCTGAACCCAATCGAGATGGTTTGGGGTGAGCTGGACCGCAGAGTGAAGGCAAAGGGGCCAACAAGTGCTAAACACCTCTGGGAACTCCTTCAAGACTGTTGGAAAACCATTTCAGGTGACTACCTCTTGAAGCTCATGGAGAGAATGCCAAGAGTGTGCAAAGCAGTAATCAGAGCAAAGGGTGGCTATTTTGAAGAAACTAGAATATAAAACATGTTTTCAGTTATTTCACCTTTTTTTGTTAAGTACATAACTCCACATGTGTTCATTCATAGTTTTGATGCCTTCAGTGAGACTCTACAATGTAAATAGTCATGAAAATAAAGAAAACGCATTGAATGAGAAGGTGTGTCCAAACTTTTGGCCTGTACTGTACATTGACTAAAACTCTGTGGTTGTTTCTATGGGTGTGTCTGTTCCACATTTTTCTCCTCACTGACTTGGTCAATCCATTTGAAATTTGGCACAGTGGTAGAGGGTCATGGGAGGATGCAAATGAAGCAAAATTACATCAATTGGCCAAAGGGGGGCGCTACAGCAACCGACTGAAATTGCAAACTTTGAACGGGCATATCTCATGCCCCATATGTTGTAGAGACATGAAACTTTGCACAGAGATGCCTCTCCTCATGAGGAACAAATTTGCATCAAGAACCCATAACTTCCGGTTATACAGATTTTCCGCCATTTTGAATCTTTTGAAAAACACTTCAAATCGATCTCTTCCTAGGAAGTTTGACCGATCTGCATGAAACTCTGTGAACATAATCTAGGGACCAATATCTAAAGTTCTCTCTTGGCAAAAGTTGGTAAACTTACTAAAACTGAGCTTCTATGAGGCAATGAATATTGCGGAGCGCGTGGCTCATCACATAAAGGTGTATAACATCTCAAGGGTTTCACCGATCACCACGCAACTTTGTAGGCATATGACCACACATAATCTGAGGGGACCCCTCCATCATTGACCCGATCAAACAAAATGGGGGCGCTAGTGAGCTAATTTCTTATCTAGGCCTAACCGCCATATCGATTTTTTGCCTATATTTGACAGGACAGTGAAGCATGACAGGAAGGATGGGAGAGAGAGAGCAAGGAAGACATGCAGCAAAGAATGAAGGCCAGATTCCAACCCCCACCCCTGCAACAAGGGCTAGCCACACCTTTCCCATGTGAATTACCAGTGTGCCACACTTATAAGTCAATACAACATATAAACACTTGAACTATCTGCCTCTCAGTGTGCTACCTCAACTGGTAATGTACAGTTTTAGCCCACTAACTATCCCACTATTGGCAATGGTACTACTGTACTTTCAATACAGCAATCGTACTATCAAATTCACAAAAACTCTGTCTGAATACGTTGCACTTCTTAATGGGTTCAGTTGACTATTTAATCTGCAATTTCCTATGACCTGTATCCTGAACACACACCATGTGAAACTGTACGTGGGCAACTGCGCACTCAGTTGGTATGGACTAGTTGATAATAATTCTAATTATTATTACATTATTATTAGTTACTCTGTTAAAATATAGTAATGTAAAAATAATTTTAATTACTCCATCAAAGTAATGTTACTTACCGTAAAACTTCAATTAAAAGCCCGGGCTATTATGTGCTTAAATCACTGAAATCAAAAGGCCTATATTTGGGACAGGTGTCTATACAGGACAGACCTTAAAATACTAACTAACACAAAACTGTTGCTCAGCAAAGATGGGAAACACAATCCCATTGTTTATTTAATCTAGTATTAATATTACTTGTATAAAAATTTGACTTAAGATAATACATCAGTTATGAATCATTCATTTGATCTAACTCCAACAGACATCAGGGGGAGAGACGTATGACATTTGAGGATTACAGCATACTGACACAACACTGCTTTATCCTGTTTTAACAATACTCACAACTTGAATAAATTTTTATGAAAAACCCTTTTGATTCTTTTGATTTGAGGACACTGGACACTAACTACTAAAGGAAACTAAAAGGAACATAAATAATTAACAGGGTAATTGAAGAATGGACACATAATGCGAGGTAGCTGACAACCTGCTATTTTACATCCAAAGAACTGTTGTGAAAAAAAAAAAAAAAAAAA